AAATTACAACACTGGTCAAGCTACACCATTTATTTTCAGGAACTAGTGTGACATTTTTTACAGCAACCACAAACCAATAAATTATGACTCAAATCTTCATAATAACAAGATAAAACTTTAAAATCTCTCTAATCTGATAGTAAATTATTATTATTAGCAGCTTGGCTACTACAGGTATTTTCATTATTATTATTATTATTATTAATATTATTATTATTATTACTGTATTATTTTATAAGACTAAAATAATATCAGTTTTCATCTTGCCTTAACCCAAGTGGCAACACAGTGAATAATCTCCCAAGACCCAACAAAAGACTCCAAAGTTTCAAGAAGGAGTTTCAAGAACAATGTCTTTGAAAAACAGATTCAGTAATTCAACAAATTTGCAATTGAGTAACATTATTTATTAAAAATATTTTACATGCATCAACACAAAGTAAACTCCCACGTATTAAAAAACATTATTTTGATAGGATATCAAATATTAATTTCCCTTTTCTACTGAAAATCAAATAGAATGCATGTCTGGCAACACATCTATAGAAGGCACACTAGTTCAGATGTACGTTGCAATATACAAAAGAAAAATCTAGTGTTCTTGAATTTAAAAGGTTCTGCAATGCCCTGTCTAAATTCATCATTTCACTCGCCATCTGTGATGAAGATCAAGTGAACTTGCCTCAGGAAATTGTGCGCTACTGTCCACAAGTGGCTAAAAAATGAGCGAACACACGCGATGCAGTCGAGAAAATACAAATGCTTAAAAAAAATCTCACAAGTAGTGTTCATATCATGACAATAACACATTTACTAGCCTTGATTATACTAAACCTCTTAATGTGAGCATTATTACTTACCAATGCTGATCAAACAAATCTAGTTAAACACCACACATTTTCAAAAGGAAAATTATCACACGTTGACAGAACAGAGTTTTTGTGATAAATACTGTACTAAAATTACTGAAAAGAACTGCTGAAATATACAGCCAAATGTTTAACTAGCATTATTGATTAAATATGATGGATCCCATTTATACATGTAGCATTTAATTGCTGCACTGTGCTAAAGCCCCCCAATGTACCCACAAGAGTTTTATAACTTAACTGTGTCCAAAATAGTAGCCTGATTGATATGTGCACCACCAATCAACTGACCCTGGTTATTACAATTATATCTAACCAAAATATATTTAACTGCATTTTCTCTACTTTTCACAATTAATTTAAATAAATTTCTTTCAGTTCCTAACAAATTCAATGCATTTGTTGACCAAACCACACACTAGAAAGTGAAGGGACGACGACGTTTCACAATCGACTTGAGAATGGTCCAGGACGGACCAAAACGTCGTCCTCCATTCACTTTCTAGTGTGTAGTTTGGTCAACATAATTCAGCCACATTATTGTGACTCCTTGTCCTCAATGCATTTGTGACCTACTATATTGACTCAAAATTGTATGACGTACAAAAAAAAAATGATATGATGTCCATACTATAAGTAGTATGTACTTAAAAAGTACATACTACTACAGTAGAATGTACTTTAGACATACTAATTATGTCTAACGTCGTATTTAAATTTCCTTTACCTCTACATCCACACATCAACATAACCAACTTGATATGGCATAATAAATTAGTTCTGGTAATAAAGATTTTGTCACAGCAAAATTTCAGGATTTATTTACGATGCTATGTGTAGTTTTTTCAAGCATTATATATGACCAGCCACCTTCAGTTTAAAAAACTACAACTACTGATTCAAATGTTTGCCAATTTCCTATGTGAATGATGCAGCATCTACTGGTAATAAGAATTATATATACTGTGTGTGTGTGTGTGTGTGTGTGTGTGTGTGTGTGTGTGTGTGTGTGTGTGTGTGTGTGTGTGTGTGTGTGTGTGTGTATATATATATATATATATATATATATGTCGTACCTAGTAGCCAGAACGCACTTCTCAGCCTACTATACAAGGCCCAATTTGCCTAATAAGCTAAGTTTTCATGAATTAATTGTTTTTCGACTACCTAACCTACCTAACCTAACCTAACCTAACTTTTTCGGCTACCTAACCTAACCTAAATAAAATAGGTTAGGTTAGGTTAGGTAGGGTTGGTTAGGTTCGGTCATATATCTACGTTAATTTTAACTCCAATAAAAAAAAATTGACCTCATACCTAATGAAATGGGTAGCTTTATCATTTCATAAGAACAAAAATTAGAGAAAATATATTAATTCAGGAAAACTTGGCTTATTAGGCAAATCGGGCCTTGCATAGTAGGCCGAGAAGTGCGTTCTGGCTACTAGGTACGACATTATATATATATATATATATATATATATATATATATATATATATGTCGTACCTAGTAGCCAGAACTCACTTTTTGGCCTACTATTCAAGGCCCGATTTGCCTAATAAGCCAAGTTTTCCTGAATTAATATATTTTTCCTAATTTTTTTCTTATGAAATGATAAAGCTACCCATTTCATGATGTATAGATATATGACCGAACCTAACCAACCCTACCTAACCTAACCTAACCTATCTTTATAGGTTAGGTTTGGTTAGGTAGCCGAAAAAGTTAGGTTAGGTTAGGTTAGGTAGGTTAGGTAGTCGAAAAACAATTAATTCATGAAAACTTGGCTTATTAGGCAAATCGGGCCTTGAATAGTAGGCCAAAAAGTGAGTTCTGGCTACTAGGTACGACATATATATATATATATATATATATATATATATATATATCACAATTATTGATTAAGCATGCAGATGATGAGGGACAATAATGTGGTTGAAGATATGATGACCAAAACACACACCAGAAGATGAAGAAACGACAACGTTTTGGTCTGTCATGAACCTTTATCAAATTGTACGATTAAAATGGTCCATGATGAACCGAAATGTTGTCATTTCTTCACCTTCTGGTGTGTGGTTTGATCATTGATTTAGCATGTAAATAGATAGTAAAATTAAACAATCATAATTAAGAAATATAAAAGAATCATAATATTCTGGGCATGTGAGAGCTACCTTGTTCCCATTTAGATTAGTGGTGGCTGTATAACAAGTAGGAATCGGAATATTTACCATCACAAGTTATGCTTCCCCATTTGGAGCAAACAATTTTTACAGCTGCCTCATTTCAAAATAATTACTTTAAAGACCATATTTCCAAAACACACTAAAAATAACCAATGCCACTTGCATATAAATCATAATATACCAACTACCATACCACTCAGTCAAAACACCAACATGTTACTGCTTATGACTTTTGGGTGAAGATTACTCTCTCTTTTTTTGCTTCCTTCATCAAAGGTTTCTTTGTATGACGAGCAATTAACCTGATGAATGTATCATCTTGTGTAAAATAGGTGGATGCCATCTTAGTTAAGGGGGCGTCTGGTTATTATAATGAAAGTTATTCAATGTCAACCAATATTATTTTTCTAGTTGTATATGAAAAGTGCTTAAATTGTCCCAAGTTTCAGTACTGCAGCGTAAATAGAAAAGGAGTTTTTTTTTTTTTTTTTTTTTTTGAACGTTTTTTACACATTTTCAAGTCCACACTTCAGAACACACGTTTCAGATAAAATTATTCTGTGACACTTTTCTGACACATTAGCATATAATAAAGGATTTGGGGATTTAGAATTTCCAAAACATCTTTAGTTTTCCTAATACAAATGTTCAAAGTTCCCCAAAATTTTGTTGCAAATATGGCATGTTTATTGCTATTATAAAATCAATAAATGAACTTAGAGAAAAATGAAAGCCCCCCAATGTAGAGACATGCCCTCCACATATACTGTGTAAGTTTTATGTAAATTGAATAAAAAAAGAATGAGTTTTGTAAACGTTTGTGTCAATTGAAAAAAAAACAGAAATGAATAAAGTCTAAGGTTCTAAAATCTGTGGCTGGGGTTGACATCAACCAATTTTCTCCAAAATTGGCATCCTTACAGATAGGCTTACGTACAGTCAGGTGTTTAAGTTTGATGCAAATCGCCCCAAAAAAAAAGAAAAAAAAAAAATATTTAAAAAAAAAAAAAGAAAAAAAAATCCTTTTTTTTTTTTCCTTAAAATTTTTTTCCAATTAAACTAATAATAATATTTGTTTAATATATGCTATTGTGATAGCAAAGAGTTGTAGTTATGATTTCAGTTGACACTTTTGATTGATAATCGATTTTGACCATTTTTGCATAATTTTCACAACTACTTCAATATTTTTTTTCTCCCTTCCTATTTATGCTACAATGCTGAAACTTGGACCAGATGAAACACTTTTCATATAGAACTTGTCAAAAAAGTTTGATTGAAATCGAATGAGTTTTCATTTTTGCATTTTTGGACCCAGATGCCAACCAGACGCCCCCTTAAAGGTACTGTTTAATGCAAAAGCTGCTCTCAACTTTGGAATTTCTCTAGGATATACTGTCTTAATTTATTAATAAAACATAATATCTCAGTATAATTTCAGTGATAATGGAATGAAATTAACAAGTCTCAAAAACTTTATCTAGCAGAAATGGACACCGAATCAGGGATGATGGTTCCCTGCATGAAAACAAGATTTATTTGGATATATAAACTGCACTGCACAATCTACAATCAATTTTAGTAATAAAATCTCAAGTCTAGTTAAGTGGAGCAATAACATTTATAAAATACCACCCACAGTATTTAATACAGCACTGAAATATTGTCAGGTAAATGTATGAATGAATATAAATAAAAATGGTATAAAGTATATCTCCCATTCTGGCCTAATAAAGAGTTATTAGTTGCAAGGGTATCTGCAACTTCCTGAATGTAGGATTAAAGAAATATGTCTAAAAATGATCAAATGAGGCAAATAGAATCACGGCAGGTGTGCTGGCTGATGCTTCCAATTAGAGTTTAAAAATAGGAGAGACAAGAAAATGATGGTAGCTACTAGAAATAAAGTTTTACCTATTGGTCATTATATTACACCATTCAATGGGTGACGTGCCATCCGTGGAGGAGGCAGAGGGTGATGTGCCATCTGTGGAGGTGGCAGAGGGTGATGTGCCATCTGTGGAGGTGGCAGAGGGTGATGTGCCATCTGTGGAGGTGGCAGGGGGTGATGTGCCATCTGTGGAGGTGGTAGAGAGTGACATGCCATCCGTGGAGAAGGCAGGGGGTGATGTGCCATCTGTGGAGGTGGCAGAGGGTGATGTGCCATCTGTGGAGGTGGCAAAGGGTGATGTGCCATCTGTGGAGGTGGCAGAGGGTGATGTGCCATCTGTGGAGGTGGCAGGGGGTGATGTGCCATCTGTGGAGGTGGCAGAGAGTGACATGCCATCCGTGGAGGTGGCAGGGGGTGATGTGCCATCTGTGGAGGTGGCAGAGGGTGATGTGCCATCTGTGGAGGTGGCAGGGGGTGATGTGCCATCTGTGGAGGTGGCAGAGAGTGACATGCCATCCGTGGAGGTGGCAGAGGGTGATGTGCCATCCGTGGAGGTGGCAGAGGGTGATGTGCCATCTGTGGAGGTGGCAGAGGGTGATGTGCCATCTGTGGAGGTAGCAGGGGGTGATGTGCCATCTGTGGAGGTGGCAGAGAGTGACATGCCATCCGTGGAGGTGGCAGGGGGTGATGTGCCATCCGTGGAGGTGGCAGAGGGTGATGTGCCATCTGTGGAGGTGGCAGAGGGTGATGTGCCATCTGTGGAGGTGGCAGAGGGTGATGTGCCATCCGTGGAGGTGGCAGAGAGTGACATGCCATCCGTGGAGGTGGCAGGGGGTGATGTGCCATCTGTGGAGGTGGCAGAGGGTGATGTGCCATCTGTGGAGGTGGCAGAGGGTGATGTGCCATCTGTGGAGGTGGCAGAGGGTGATGTGCCATCCGTGGAGGCAGGGGGGTGATGTGCCATCCGTGGAGGTGGCAGGGGGTGATGTGCCATCCGTAGAGGTGGCAGGGGGGTGATGTGCCATCCGTGGAGGTGGCAGAGGGTGATGTGCCATCTGTGGAGGTGGCAGAGGGTGATGTGCCATCTGTGGAGGTGGCAGAGGGTGATGTGCCATCTGTGGAGGTGGCAGAGGGTGATGTGCCATCCGTGGAGGCAGGGGGGTGATGTGCCATCCGTGGAGGTGGCAGGGGGTGATGTGCCATCCGTGGAGGTGGCAGGGGGTGATGTGCCATCCGTGGAGGTGGCAGGGGGTGATGTGCCATCCGTGGAGGTGGCAGGGGGTGATGTGCCAGGTGTGGAGGTGGCAGGGGTGATGTGCCAGGTGTGGAGGAGGCAGGGGGTGATGTGCCAGGTGTGGAGGAGGCAGGGGGTGATGTGCCAGGTGTGGAGGAGGCAGGGGGTGATGTGCCAGGTGTGGAGGAGGCAGGGGGTGATGTGCCAGGTGTGGAGGAGGCAGGGGGTGATGTGCCAGGTGTGGAGGAGGCAGGGGGTGATGTGCCAGGTGTGGAGGAGGCAGGGGGTGATGTGCCAGGTGTGGAGGAGGCAGGGGGTGATGTGCCAGGTGTGGAGGAGGCAGGGGGTGATGTGCCAGGTGTGGAGGAGGCAGGGGTGATGTGCCAGGTGTGGAGGAGGCAGGGGGTGATGTGCCAGGTGTGGAGGAGGCAGGGGGTGATATGCCAGGTGTGGAGGAGGCAGGGGGGACATCAGGCTTTGTAAAGTGGAATAAATGGCCATTTAACTTTATTCCATTTGTTTGGCAGAAATCACAGCCTAGGGAGCCGGCGGCTGAGCGGACAGAACACTGGACACGTGATCCTGTGGTCCCGGGTTCGATCCCGGGCGCCAACGAGAAACAATGGGCAGAGTTTCTTTAAAACTGATGCCCCTGTTATCAAGCAGTAAATACGTAGCTGGGAGTTAGTCAGCTGTCACGGGCTGCTTCCTGGGGATGGAGGCCTGGTCGAGGACCGTGCCGAGGGGACACTAAGCCCCAAAATCATCTCAAGATCTCAAGAAGATAGAAGTCCTTATGATGCACCTCAAAAAAAAAAAAAAAGCATTAGAAAATGCTGTTTTCAGTATAATGAAAAGAGCCATCTGTAGGATGAACACTTCTTTCAGTGCACCTGACATTAATGCTCCTAATTACAGCCTTGACAAATCTGTATTTACAATGACTTTATCACAGAAATGATAACCAGGACTTAAATAATTCCTTTCCAGTATTACAATATTCTGCCACATTAAACATTTAAATATATAAAATATCAACAGCTGGGGAAAGATCATCAATGAGTAAAGAAGTTGTATTCGCTTTCTAAAACTGACTTTGGTATTTTGGCAAGTGTTTGATGACCTTTATAAACTCAAATAAATGGTAGCTAAAAAAGTGGCAATGCAGAATCTGTCAAATTTGCATACAATGTATTTCAAAATTTTAACTTCTAACCAGGAAAAGATAATTTATTGAAATTAATCTATATCCTAAATATTTGTTTCTGGCTTCAATTTTCAAATTAAAATGGATATTGAACATATTTACAAAATTGCAAACAAGTCTGCTTAAAGCGTGACAAAATAAAATATTGGTGTGATTTAAGTAAAATGGCAAGTTTTTTTTTTATTCTGATATAGCTGACACGTATGTTACAATTGACAAATATTTGATATAATTGACAAAATGCCAATAAAACATAATAAGCTATGCAATACTAGACAATAATAAAAATTACACCATTCATCCATGTCTTATATATCTTTCTTTTTACAAAGTTTCAGAAAGAAATTATCTCTTGATCCACATAAAATAGCACAACAGCAGTAATGATAAACTGAACTAATCAGGGAAAATATATTACTTGCATTTAATTTTTATTAAGAAAGGAATTAATGCAGATATGAAACAAGTCGACACACTCCCAGCTTATACATTTGTAGACGTGCGTACGTTGGATGTAGGCCACGGCAGACGCTCATGGTGATACACCTTGCCAATCTACTTTGCAAGTTTGCATGATTTTGTGAATGTCATAACTGATATGCTGTAGTTTAATAAACATACATTCACACACATTATAACAAAACTATTTACTAGGATATGTAATTATGTAAACAAAAACTACAACAAAGGGTTTATCTTTTCCACTAAAGTGTACACAAAATTTTGTTTGATGCAGTGATATGACCTAAGATGGCTTAAAAAGTAAAGTTGAAATAAAATTTAATCACAACTTTAGTAGAACCTGACTTCAAGTTTTAAATAGCTACATTTGAACCAAATATTGTTAACTCGCTCATCTATTAATCCCAATGTAATTTATCTTGGAAACAGGATAGTTCCAATTTAGTGAAAAATATGCTCTTAACATCCAAAGCCACAGATAATTAGTTGGGAATGAAGGCCTGGTCACAGACCGGGCTGTGGGAACCTTGACCCTTGGAATCACCACAAGGTAAGGTATTAGGCTCGGATTAAAAGCCTGCAATTTTTATTGCAACAAGTCACTACAATCATTAAAGAACTATATTTAGTGTTGTGTGCTCTTGGTATGCATAGATATACAGTAAAATAGGACTGACTTGCATCGTTTCCTTACATTTAATACAAGAGCAACACTTGAATACATACTCATGAAATATTGGTACAGGGAGTGCATTATTCAGCTGGTGTCTCCTGACTTCTTACTTCATTGAGGAAGACCAATATTTCATAACACTAATAACTTTAGTCTTTATAACAACACTTCAAAATAAATGTTAGCTGTAATAAAATTAAACATAAATTGTCAACTAGTACTGTAGTACTAGTTGACTACATTCCTCAGGTAAGAAGATTGTTGACCATGCCAAGGGAAAATTTTTAAACTATTTCTAGTAACCACAGTGGAACTAAGGTGAGAACATGGTCTCACTCAATATTTGAAAAAAAGCCAAGTTACCTTCTCACCATCAGCCAATTTTGAGGCTTGACATGAGAACAGCTTAGGTCACAGCTACGTAACATTAGCCCAGCACCCAACTTAAGAAATGGATGCATTCTAAATAAGCATCCATAAGTCTGCTGTTCATAACCTGGAATCAGGTTTCCCTTAGTCGCAATGCTATAAAAGGGAGAGACATTCTTGGACCACCAAAAATGGACGTATAAACCAAATTTGTTTGACATAACATGGCTTTTAATTTACTTTTTAATAATTGAATTGTCCTGCTTGTTTAATTTGACTCTTTTTGAAGAGCGATGAGGTATAATTGCTATGAGAGGAGGCAGTAAAAGTTGATAAATGGCACTGGAGAACCACTAACATGCTTCCTCTTATGATCAGCCATTATTGAGGCACTTTTTCTCGATAAACAACTAAAAAAGTGCATTAATAGCACTCTTCGAAATGTTGGGACTTATAAATAGGGTCATACAGCAGGACGAAAGGTTAAAAGGGGCTGAGAAGCTAAAATGGGACGAGGGGCTAATATGGGCCAGTCATAAATTTGGCCAGTCACAAAATCAGATCATCCTAAGTCGGATGTTCATAAATAGGGACCTCCCTATAGTATGTAATTAACAGCCTGTACGTATCTCAAGATTAATTTTGTGACAATGAAAAAGTGCTACAAAACACACTACCCAAATGTAAATGTACAAAATGTTTCCAGTTACCTATTGCAAACAAATGTTTTCGTACCATCAAAAATGTTTCAGAATTGCACAGCACTTGGAAATAAGTGTCAGTGCAACTATATTTCTTCTTACTGTTAATTCTACTTGTAGAACAGGTTGAGACGCAAGTAACTGGAAAACCACATCTTTTCACATGAGTCCTAAATTTAATTGTAATGTATTCTCAAACTTTTTTTTATCTTCTGCTTTATTTAAAAAGCTAATTTATTGTTAATTCATCTTGCAGCAGACAAAAACAAAAAACAATTTAACAATTTCTTCGTTAAATTAATCTGTCCTCATGAATAGACATTGCATTTTGACATGTAAATCTCCAACAGCCAAAATGTATGTTATAAACCATGGTGGCTTGCAAAATTGACCGGCTGTTCCGTTTTCTATTCATGTTGTCTCAGGTTAGGTTCACGTAATTTTATGCACTATTTTTGTGATATGACAACTCGAGAGGACAAGCTGATTAAACAGCTACAGAGTAATTTTGCTCATCAAAATATCATTCATTCATTTGGTAGAGTTAAGAGTCAAACCACGTTTACATTCAAAATGCAAGTTTCATATTAGCATGAACAATATACTGTACGAAGAATAAAACTGTGATTGAAGTCATTTGTGAATATCAAGAAAAAACATTATAACAGGCTTTTCTTGGAAAAACCTATTATTCCTTTTCTTAAGTTTGGCATTACAAGGAAATAGCACACAGAGAAACTTCTGATAAAAATCAGCTTTAAATGCCTAGAAAACAACGTGGATGTTTATCTGGCCTAACACTGTATCAATGGACACTCAATGGTTTCTAAAAAATAAAAAATATAAACAGGCCTCTACAATTTAAATTAACAATTCATACAAAAAATAAAAAGCTGCATTAATGTACTAGTATCACAAGAGTGCATGCCATAACTTTGTATCAGAAGCTCAAGACATGACCAGTGAACAGAGACAGTTACATGCCTAGTTTGAGAACTGGTTTGTATTAGTATTATCATTACTACTTTACTTCCAAAGTCAGTATGTTTGTCTTCTAGCTAAATGTTAATAATTAAAATTGCATAAATTACCTTCAGATACATCAGATAACAGGTACTCCTACTTCTGAACAATGATATATTTCAGTTTCAATTCATTTATACATTCAAACATAATAAGATATATATACTCTCTCTCACTCACTCACTCTCACTCACTCTCTCTCACTCTCTCTCACTCACTCTCACTCACTCTCTCTCACTCTCTCTCACTCTCTCTCACTCTCTCTCACTCTCTCTCACTCTCTCTCACTCTCTCTCACTCTCTCTCACTCTCTCTCACTCTCTCTCACTCTCTCTCACTCTCTCTCACTCTCTCTCTCACTCACTCTCTCTCACTCTCTCTCACTCTCTCTCACTCTCTCTCACTCTCTCACTCACTCTCACTCACTCTCACTCACTCTCACTCACTCTCACTCACTCTCACTCACTCTCACTCACTCTCACTCACTCTCACTCACTCTCACTCACTCTCACTCACTCTCACTCACTCTCACTCACTCTCACTCACTCTCACTCTCACTCGTAACTACGTACTCACCTAGTCGTGTTTGCGGGGGTTGAGCTCTGGCTCTTTGGTCCCGTCAACCAACAGGTGTACAGATTCCTGAGCCTATTGGGCTCTATCATATCTACACTTGAAACTGTGTATGGAGTCAGCCTCCACCACATCACTTCCTAATGCATTCCATTTGTCAACCACTCTGACACTAAAAAAGTTCTTTCTAATATCTCTGTGGCTCATTTGGGCGCTCAGTTTCCACCTGTGTTCCCTTGTGCATGTGCCCCTTGTGTTAAATAGCCTGTCATTTACATGCACGTGTATGCGTGCATGTGTGTGCGCGCGCGTGTGTGTGTGTGTGTGTTTGTGTGTGTTTCAGGAACCTGTACGCCAGTTGATTGACAGATGAGAGGCAGGACCAAAGAGCCAGAGCTCAAACCCCACAAACACAACTAGGTGAGTACAACTAGGTGAGACACACACAGAAACACACACAGTAAAACAAACACAAACACACACAGTAAAACAAACACAAACACACACAGTAAAACAAATAAAGTTCCCGTTGCTGATGACATTCGATAATGCTATTTTATGACAATATGCATTTTACTTTCATTTTTTTATATAAATTAATTTCATCTTGTATCACTGATCATGTACTGTATTAATATCACATTCAATTGCACAGAACAAATATTAAACACTAGAAACACAGGAATAGCAGTTACAAAGCTCCATTAGGTACACTGTATTCTACATTAATTTCTAGTGAATTTGAATACTATAAGTCACTTAGCAAACAATTTACATCCAGAAAAGCGCATCAAGCCATATCAACAACACTTAATGATTACACCAACTTAACATGTAAAGCCCTTGTTCTTGACACAGTAGCATCATATATCAGTAACTGGTTAAGATGTAATACCTATTAATAATGCCCATCATTTTTGTTTATATATATCATGCCTATAGACATACCTATTAATTTTTAGCTCTTTTCATATAAATTATGTGAATCTATACACAGCCATACTTATCTGAATTCGCCACTTCCGACTCGGTAGGAGTCGGCAATTCTCCCACTCTGTTGGTCCACTTCTCCAAGGTGAGACTTGGGATCGGGAGACTGAGAGCTCCATGTCGTTTTTTCACAGGGATCAAGTAAGGAACGAACACACACTGGCACATCCTGACTGGCAATGTAGCAAGAATCTTGAATAGTGTAGAACCTGTCATGAAGGGAGATATTCAGCATTTGTCACATTTTACACGTTGGTTCTGTGCACATATTATTAACATACCCGTCAAACTGAATCGAAAATAACAAATAAGGCAAGGTAAAATTTATGGATCTCCATTAGTATAAATATTAAAATTTTGTCTTTAGTTTTCACAGTTAAAATAACACAACATTCAAATTTAAATCAACCTTAAAATATAGTGGAAATACACTATATTTTATAGGCCGTGGTGCCTATAAAATATAGAACGCCACTTCTGGGGTAGCCAGAAAAGCAGGAAGAGAAGGGGCCCACTGATCAGACCCCAGAGCCACGGCTGGAGGAATGAACTTGAATGCCTCCATCGCCACCCCAGAAGAGGCAACTCCCTAAACTGCCCGAATCTCAGAAACCTCTAAACGCCACCCCAGAAGAGGTAACCCCCTAAACTACCCGAGTCTCAGAAATCTCTGAACCCCACCCTCAACTCTGAAGCCCTCAGATGCTTTGTAGCCAGAAGCAAGGGGGAGGGGGCAGAATGAACCACAGCAGGAGGAAGAGCAAGGGGGCGCGGACGGAACCAAGGCCGACAACCAATACCCCCAAGCCTGGGTCCCTATAAGCAAAGTGGGGCAGCTTCGGGTCTTCCAGGGAAGCAACCAACCTAGCATGTTGCAGCAACCTATACCTAGCATGCAATGCCTGAGCCGCCTGCATCCGAATATCATCATCAGTTGATTGGGTGAACTGAGTCGCAAACAAGCAACAATGCCCACAGGATTCAGGGTCGAAGGTGTCACCGACCCAACAGGCAGCATGACAAAGTTAAAAGTGGCGACTGTCACCCGGAGACAAGGGTACAGCAACCAACGATCCCGTACAAGACGGGTTGGAACCCGGAAGACACATTCAATGGTCCACCGAGCCCAGACAGGGGTTTCCAGGGCCCGTAGGCTGACTGCTACGGGAAGCCCGGGCAAGGTGTTGCTAACCGGTTAAGAAACCCCAAAATAACAAGAGGGTAGAGGATAGCACTGAAAACCCCTGCGACGTGTACAGTCACGGGGGCCTAGCAGAGGGCCACCAAACACTACCAGTGGAACTATAGCCACACTAGGCAGACCCCCACCAGGCAAATAAAAATAAAAACAAAAGAAAAACCCCGCAAAAGTACACCTTCTCCAGAGGCAACAGGAACTGGTCGCCGCTTAGGTGGTAGGTCGCGCAACACCTTGACACCCTAACCAGCACAATACCAGTCCCTACCTAGGGCCAAACAAAGGCTCCAAGCCCCAGCTGGCCCCAAGGGCGACGCAAATGCCGAGCAGCAAGAACCTCTACGGGAATGGTTCCCGAACGCCCCAGGGAAGATAACCCTGTCATGCAAGGGCAGTACTCACAGGGGACTTAGGGAAGGAAGCCCCTACGCGCATGCAGCCCCGGAAGTGATGAGGTACTCCTGGCCACCGCACAACACAACACACAGCAGTGAACGCCACACAAGGCAAACACCGCCTAGGAAACTGAAGCGTCTATCCCGGTTGACATTAGCTTACGAACTGAAGCTAGGCAGCCGGCACGGTAGGTCCGGGGCTCCCCCCTCCCCCTCTCGGGGCAGGGAGGGCTGCGCGGACGATCGGCGCGGCAGTAAAGTGTGATGTTTGCTTGTTTCCTTGGGATTGTAGGGAGTTTCTACCTCTCTGTTCGGTTTTTTGTTTTAGTTTTTTACCATGTGGGGTTTGTTTTGTTATGCCTACCTTTCTGGATGCCTAACCCCGGTCGATGGCAGATAAGGAAAATCCCAACCACAAGGGGGTTTTCCAGGGCCATTGCTCCCTGAAACTTCTCTGAAGGGGACAGGTTCTGGTGCTGGTCCCTGGTAGGTCTGAACTCCTTAGCTAATGTCCCGGTCTAATATAACATACATTAGCCCAATAAGCTCCAGGGAGTCGTAGGGACTCCCCACAGAAAATTCTTTTTTCTTCTTAAAATGATAAATTCCCTACCCTGAACATGTCTATGTAAAAATAAATACCAAATTCCACTTACTTTGGCTGTGGGGACATGGATAAGGTGCACTGTGACGTCATCAGGGGCTGGTCACCTGTGCTTGAAGCTCCCAGACACGGTCGCGCAGGCCATTCAAGCACCGGGTGTGGCAACAAATATATTTTCAATTATTTGTTCTATGTATTTCCAAGCGGTTTTATTTGTTTTTTATTGTATATGATGCATATTCGTGTCCTTTACAATATGTATACAGTAAAATGTTCATAATGTTCCATGGAACTGTGATACATGTGTCAGTAATGTGTCCACAATAAATGTTTATTGTCACAATATTACTTGTTAAAAATTAATCAAAATTACAATATGTACAGTTTCACACACTATTTACAAAGTAACACACTGTATTACACACTCGGTACTTCGGAAGTGAGTAATAATCAACGAAGTAGTCCATGGTGCACATCGTGACTTCGCTCTCGTTGCACCAGGTACAGATAGATTTTCGCTTCATTTTTCTTTGTTCTGTGTTCTGTGTGCTTGCAAATAACGCACTCACGTACACCCTTGGCTTTAGTACTTGTAGGTTGTATGAAGCCAAGCTTGTAAAGCATAAGGTAGTCCTGAAAAGATTGCTTTGTAAGGTCAAACACAGGAAAAGATTCAGCTAGCCTCAAAGAGTGTCCGTCAGTCAGGAAAAGATTCAGCTAGCCTCAAAGAGTGTCCGTAAGTCAAGAAGAGATTAAGTTATTCTTGAAATTATCTATGGAAAACAACACCATGGAAGCCACTAACACTGTTCATCTATACTACTTGTATCAGATGCATCATCACTGAACACAGAAAACAATTCATCTATGTATCATCTAAATAAATTTTAGATAGCATAGGTGGGCCAGGGTGGCGCTCAGAGCTACAATTGGATACGCTCGCTGTATCGTCCTCATAGGTGCTGTATAACTTGCATCCGACCTCTGTGCTAGGTTCTTATTGCGCCTAGCTTCACCAATATTATGACCCTTATGTTCTTCAAACAATAAGTTGGAGGCCCTAAGGGCTCACTGTAGTTTTCTTGGTTGGCACTTGTGACTGATTGGCGCAGTTAAGTGGTTAAAGGGTTCACATCGATCCACTGTGACAGCTGTGGACCATATAAAGTTGAGTGAGAGGCAGAGACTTCCTGTGCTGAGGAGTTGCCATGATGTCCCAGACTAAGGAGGAGGCAAGTATTACTGAGATCTGCATCAGTGTAGGATCCCGATGGCCCTTTGTGTAGTGCCCTGAAAATTGCAAACAATTTCATCATAAAATAAAATTATCAATGAATTTCATAAAGAAAATACCATGTTTGGACAATGGGTGGAGATGGAAGTGGCACAACAGCACAAAAAGCTGAACATGTAAAGAATAGAGTGCAGCGTGAAATGTAATGCCCCATTCCGAGTGGTTCCTTTGCAGCTTCCCTTAGTTTCTGTTACCAGTACAATAAATATAGGACACTGATTGTCAGATTCCCAGTGACAATCTTGGTACACCAGGGACAAGTACATTTCTCCAGGCATAATGCCTCTGAATAATGTTTGGAACATTAAATTGCCAAACAAAACCCTAAAACAAGTTAATCCCCCACTAATTAAACTACCCCCACCACCATCAGGTGGTACAACAGCCACCTGTTGTCGCTGTTGTGGTGGCCCCACCACTTCCAAGTGACCAAGTGGTGGGGCCTGATCCATCCAAGACTCAGGAAATGAGGCCACTTCACATGTTTAACTGGCACAAATGAGACTACACTTATTATAGATAAATTGACTCGCCATCTTTCTGACTAAGTGTCCCTGCATAAGGGGTTCCATGCTAAAAACAAGTTTGATGGTATGTATGCAGTTTATTAATATCTCTTGCTGCCAGGCCATTGCAGTGGCATAGATAGTACAGCCATTTCCAGGTGTTTTGCTAAAGAAAAACTAATTGATCACTTATTCATTATTTATTTGGGGAAACTTTTGCCCTTCCTTGCTTATGAGAGATAAGGTTCAGTGTTTGCATGTTGTATGCATCATCTCAAGTTTGGTCTTTCAATCAGAAGTCATCTAGTATAGCATATTGTACCATTTTCCAGTGTCAGAGAGGTTGTTTAACTCATTTCCCCTACTAGTTGGGTCAACATATATCTGCTAACTAGTCCAGGGTCTGAAGCTGCTGCATATATAGCTTCCTTGAATGTTCTAAAGTATTTATTGACATTGATGGGGTAGGGGTCCAGGGTTTGTGCAGTTTTCACATAGGGTGCCTGTTTTTCCAGGTAGGGAATATGTTGTATCCTCCCACCCAGTTAAAGTTGAACTAAACCTTGTCCCTTCAACTCCCAGGTGCATTTCCATGAGCTTGTTGATGGCATGGCTATGCATCCAGGTTTCCTCAATAACATTTAGCTTCATTGCAAGCATCTGTTTTGTTTTTTTAGGTGTTGGAATGGAAGGTTTTCAAGGAGTTTATTGTGCTCCTGTTGGGAGCTTCCATCAATCAATCAATAGAACATTGACTGCTTCTGCTTTGTTCTGTGTAGAGAATTCAGTGGAGCTCCATTTTCCCGGTTTACTGTTTACCACTGGCTTTGGACTCTGTTGATCACAAGGCTTTGATTTCAGTGTGCATGATGCTTCCACCTAGTGGGGTTCTGTGAGGTGTACATTGCCTTTCTAGTAGTAGCAGTCAGCAAAGCGTTATAACTTGACAGGGGCTCATAGTATCATGAATGTACAGACTGGACTCAATGACCTTTTCATTAATTCTCTACATATGAAATTACTGCTGTACCGATGTTTGGTATGTCCTGCTGAACAATTACATTATAGAACCTATCCTTTCTGGTATGCCTAATAACAGGTTAAGGATCTATGAGATAATAATAGAATAATTGTGTTATAAATATAGTACTACATCACACAAAATTATTTTACGTTATAGCTAAATTCATCACACAAACAAAAATTCTTCAGCAATGTGAGTGTTCCCTTACCTGGCCTCTTTGACTGATATTTGGCGGCCGTGCACGACCTGCAGCGGCAGTATGAGGAACGAGTGTGAGGCTGTCACAACATTATCAATCATCACTCTAACCATCCATGACCCGGGAAGCAATGGTTTACGCATATCAAAGTTGTGGGAAACTACCTGGTAAATGCAAAATAATTATAATTAGTGAGAAGCAATGCTGCAGATGTGGAATGAAATAAAAATATTGATGACATTATTATCCAAACCAAGTTGATCCAAGTCCTTCCTTTGTAGTGGGCATTCTACTGCAGAGAAAATTCAGTTTCAGTGAAACATTTCTATTATGTTCTATTTCTTGACAATATGATTTTATTAAAACATTCTGTAAGGTATTTTGAAACTGAAGTTACAAATCCAAAAGTAAAATTTTATTTCAGAAAATATAACTAACAAATATATAGGGGAGCCGGTCGGCCGAGCGGACAGCACGCTGGACTGTCATCCTGTGGTCCCGGGTTCGATCCCGGGCGCCGGCGAGAAACAATGGGCAGAGTTTCTTTCACCCTATGCCCCCTGTTACCTAGCAGTAAATAGGTACCTGGGTGTTAGTCAGCTGTCACGGGCTGCTTCCTGGGGGTGGAGGCCTGGTCGAAGACCGGGCCGCGGGGACACTAAAGCCCCGAAATCATCTCAAGATAACATCAAGATATATAAAAAATAAGTCACAATAATACTTATTGTGCCTACGGGTCCCAGTAGTACAGTCGGGTTCGTTCTTGATTAACAATAGAAAATTCCAGGTTAGAATCCCGGGTGGGACAGAAATGGTTGGGCACATTTCCTATCACCTAATGGACCTGTTCACCCAGCAGTAAGTGAGAAAGGATCTGACCAGCTGCAGCTCTCCTGGTGGCAACAATCGATACTAATGGGTTCAAGCTAATTTCAAATAAATTATTTCCTTTCGTTTGGAGAGTTGTTTGGCAGTTTCAAGGCTTTGGTTCTTGTGACTCCAGCAGATGCCTATAAAGCTTTGCTGACATTCTGATTTTTTCCCAGTGAAATGGCATAATGTCAATTACTCTCTGCCACTGTAAGGAGGGACCAGGTTTTGGCTCTAGTCAACACTAGGCCAAAAAGAACTGTGACTGATGTGACTTTTGTAGCTTGTATGTATCTCCCTGTAGCTATCTTGCTGATAGCAAGATAGCTACTGAGCCACAAAGGAATTCTCCTAGAAAAACAGGACACCCTCCTCCAGTGTGTCCCATTTTTCCCCAGCCCAACCAAAATTATCTAGTCTGCAGAGCTCAGGTTCTTTCCTCTATGAGCTGGCTAATTTTGAGTCTCATTACTGGGAAATAGATAGGCTTATTTTCCACTCTAAGGCCTGCTGATGTGAAGTGGCTGTCAAGACTGGCTCTATTCCTGTGTTGTCAGGTCTTGTGTTTCACTTGAGGCTATGCATAGTTTGGCTGTTATTTCCTGAGCATGTGTCTTATCTGGCCGATTTACTTCTGTATATGCCATTATGGACTATTAAGATGTGGTTATTTTGTGGAATTGTGATTTTTGAGTCCAGCTTCTGGGGTCCATGAATGAAGCAACTGAGGAGGACTCCCAAAAAATGTTCCAGAGTGAAAGGGTTAATAGAAAAATTACAAACAGAATCAATATACAGTATTGTATATTTCCTACTACAAGAGCAAAACAAAAAAACAAGAAATTTTAAATATTAGGGCAACAGCCTACAGATGGAAACATGATGACAAGACCTGTTCTCCAGGTTCCAAGGTGATCTTCCCTTCAGCAGCAAGAGTTGAAGTTGGATCACTAAGTACAACAAGTGGGTGCTGTACGGTGTCCTCTCCAGCAACTCTGGCATCACCTGTTACTCCTCCAGACCATCTTGTGACCACAGTTATATCACTGTTGGGGCCCAGAGCTCCACCCAAGTTGCGAAAAACTTGCTCTTTCACATCAAATTCTGACCCTACCTTTAAAATCCTGTAAGAAAGACAAGTGTTGAGAAATTAGTCTTTGTATTCTGATAAAGCTTCCTCAAGGCTCAAATGAGACATTAAATATTAACATTTTTATATTATTAATTATTCTTAAATGTAAAGACAAGATAATCAAATGATACTATTCATACTTACAAGTAGTCTATGGTTTGTTTTCTCAAAGGGCAGTCTATATTTGATACGTGGAAAAATCCAAGTCTCGATCGGAAAGGCTCTCAGGCTGTCAATATTGCCTATGTACTGAACCAAAAGTCCCCTGAAACAAAACAGTCATATTTTTCTATCTTAATATGACCGCTATTCCACAGTCGACCTGCAATCACAATAAACATATTTTAAAGATACATACACGCTTTCTGTACAAAAAATTAAAATGAATAAGAAAATCTATTACAAATATAAACCTCTGCATTTATCATGAAAAACATATATGTGGGAATAAATTTATTACTTCAGCTATACAGTAATACGCAGCAACTCCTCTAGCCATCAGAGATCACACAAATTTTGTTTGGAAATCATCTTGAATGGCAGAAACACTCATTTCTGCTTAATGATATTACCCGAGGCATATAATGAAGCCATTCAAGTACTCTAGAGTCCTATCAAAGTGAGAGCTTCAAGTAAGTGTCCTTTAATTCCATCAGCTGATGATCCTTATAAACAGGTTTAACAATACTGCACAAAGTTCTTGAAAAGTATGAGATTATAATACAACAAATTTAAAATTATAATGACAAGGATCAAATCTAAGAAGTTTAATCTGAAGTATATAGCTACACATGAAACCCAGTATCAAATTAATACAAATTACAAATAATCTGGTGCTAGATAAACTCGTTTTAGTTAAACTTAAAAATCAAAGGGATAAGCCGAGTTCAGTGCCACCTTTATTCAGTAAACTTAATAGGACAAGGACCAATTCAGCTCAACCACTGTGACTAGACATTAGAGCGGCAATCTTGCTTCTTGCAAGTCAGTGTTCAATCCCCTAATCGCTCAAGTGGTTGGGCACCATTTCTTTCCTCCATTTTATCCCAAATCCTTATCTTCATCCCTTCCAAGTGCTACATATTCATAAAGGCTTAGTGCTCTCTCTTTGGCTTCAACGAACACTTGTTAAGTGTTTGGCAAATTGGTGATTAGATCCAGCTTGCAAACATGCGTTGCAATTGGAGGTTCGCTGGAGCCAGGTTTGACAGATTGAGGTTTCCATGTACTCTTCAATTCTGTAGTTTACATAAATAAATTATTCTTTCACATCTTATGACCAGTTAACACACATTAAGACTAATAATATCTGTCAAAGCATTTAACCACTGTTTGTACAATTAACCCCATATCTTACCTTGAATGTATCGCCAAGATGATATGAATGAACCTGAAGAACCGAAGTAGCATATACATTGCACTTGCTCTTCTCAGCGTTGACGAGCTGAGCCAACGCCCTGGTACCGAGTCTAGCCCCTGCATGGTAGAGCGTCAAGGCTGCATCATTTCCACCATCCAGCTTGTCCTTGTGATGGTAACGATTTTCCCAGTAACTCTCTAGCCCAGGAGTGGCTACCATTGAAAATTAGAAAAAATATGTAAGAAAATGATACACACAGTACTATACTGAATTATACTACGAAAAACATGGCTGCACCATATTCTGAAATCTTGCAAAAAAAAAACAAAAAAAAAAACAGGAGTAATAAGGTAAGCAGTAAGAAAAGATAGAAGACAAGATCTACCAGGCCTTAGCTTATTGTGTTAATACTATCCTAATGGACCCTAGCCTTAGTTCATAATATAATAAATAATAATAATGATAATAATAATAAAAATACTGTAATAATGATAGTAATGACAGCCATAGGAAGAGCAATTAGGGTAAATAAGTTCAGCCTGAGACAGTTATGGAGTTGTGCAGACCAACTGGCATCACCTTGTGCTTGAGGTGATGCCATACCCCCCCCCATCCTCTCCCCCAAGGCACAAGATATATGGCTCATCCCCATACAAGAATGCTCATGTAGGACCAGTTCAAAAAAGGAAGAACCATTCAGTAGTTAGCAACTACTCACCAGTGTCATGCCAGATATTCACAGCAATCAAATCAATATTTAAATTTGTTGATCTGAACAATCTTTAATGTTGTCTGGTTAATTTGAGAATAGTACTCACCTATTTGTACTCACCTATTTGTGCTTGCGGGGGTTGAGCTTTGTCTCTTTGGTCCCGCCTCTCAACTGTCAATCAACTGGTATACAGATTCCTGAGCCTACTGGGCTCTATCATATCTACATTTGAAACTGTGTATGGAGTCAGCCTCCACCACATCACTTCCTAGTGCATTCCATTTACTATTAGTATTAACATTTATTAACTATTTACTAACTATTAACATTTTTGCTCGGTAACGACGCAGCATTGCGTCGTCCGTTTAGTAGACGGACTTCCGCTAATGACGCAGCATTGCGTCGGCGGCGGCTTCATGAGGGGCGCACCACGGTTTTGGACATTATATGCATATACTCATGTAGGGAATTTCATTGTGAATACATTGATACCAAAATGAAAGACCTAGGACCAGAATTGAGGTAACAAAGTTGAAAAGAGTATGCCCATTTTATTAGCACTCACTGGGGTTACGCTCTGTCACATTCTCTGTTTGCTGTGGGTGGTACGCCTGGCTTTTGGACTTTATATTTGCATATACTCCTGTAGAAAATTCTATTGCGAACACAATGATACCAAAATGAAAGACCTAGGGCGAGAATTGAGATGTCCAAAGTGAAAAGAGTGTACACATTTTATTGCTCTTGCGTGCTCACGGGTAATACGCTCTTACTTTCTCACCTTCTCGCTGGGCTTTGGGGCTTTATATGCATTTAGACCTGTAGAGAATTCTACTGCGAACTCATTGACACCAAATTGAAAAACCTAGGACGAGAATTGAGATGACAAAGTGGAAAAGAGTATATACTTTTCAGTATTGCCATGTAATGAGAGGCGCCTTGGGATGGCGCAGTGCTCTCTTTCTGGTCCACTTTCATCTTGTCGGCGGGTGGAGCGGGCTGTGGTTTTTGACATTATATGCATATATTCCTCTTGGGAATTCTATTGTGAACACAATGATACCAAAATGAAAGACCTAGGACAAGAATCGAGGTGACCAAAGTGAAAAGAGTGTACACATTTTATCGCTCTTGCACGCTCCCGGGTAACATGCTCTCACTTTCTCTGTTTGTTGCGGATGGTATGCCGGGCTTTTGGACTTTATATGCCTTTAGTCCTGTAGAGAATTCTATTGCAAACACAATGATACCAAATTGAAAAACCTTGGACAAGAATTGAGGTTACAAAGTTGAAAAGAGTATACACTTTTCAGAATTACCGCGCTCTCCCATGAAATACTGAAACCCTCCTGGGGTAGTGCAGGGCTCGCGTGCCCAGTCAAAACCCAAATGTCGAGTACACAATGTGTCAACTTTGTGAAAGAGAAAACAGGCACTCTCTTGAACATTATATTGTAGAATGTTCCATATTGACTGACTTTTGCCCTCCTGGGCTAAGATATGCTGAACTGTGTAATTACTATATGAGTACTGGAACACTTGATATATTGGACTTGTACCCAAGATTAACCATGTAATGTATCAATTATACAATGTATGTATGTGATGTAACTATATAACCTGAGCTTGTAAAAGCACCTTTATCACCTTCAGTGATCAAGTGCTTAATTTGACACTAGTTTCTCTATCAGCTATCTCACCCTGTCAGAGTAAAAGAGACAAATGTATGTGAATGCATGTGTGTGTGTATATATGTATGTATATATGTATATGTACGTATATGTGTATGGGTGTATGTATATGTATGTGTATAAAGTATATATGGAAGATAATCAGAATTACATTTCACATTTGTAAATGCACATTAATGACACTATGTAAAAGACACATCGAACACTTTATGTAGGGCATACGTAAATCTGTGTATCTATGTATTTACGTATGTAGGTTAGCTTAGCATTTTAAAAGCACCGACTCACCTTCTGTGGTTGATTGTTCAATAAACCCCTGAACTATATGTTTAACACATCTCTAACCCTGTCCATAGAGGACAGAAGAAAATGTATGTATGCTGATTAGCATTGTAAATGTGTGGCCACGTCTGTGGTAGAAAATAATAATAATAATAATAATAAAAAATTACCGCAAAGTAATAGAGATCGGGCAAGAATAAGCAACGGTGTCCTACTATGGGGGATGCAAAATGAGCTCACCAGTCCACTTTAATGGTTACTAGAGCTCCACTTGGTCTCTTACATTTTCTCAGACTCTTTATTAGTCTTGCAAATGAACACGGCTTAATCATACTTTGACTAACTATGTCCTATTTATTGCAACCAAAATTATCTCAATGCCAACATGTGATCCCTACTTTACCTATAATATGGTCAAACATGTACATGGTAATTATTTGACAAATATTTAAAGTATTCAAAAAATTATCTGAAATGTCCTCAATCTTATACAAGGCCACTTCTTTAAAAATAATATGGAGGGGGACTGCCAGATAAAACAGAACAGAAGAATTAGAGAGAAAAAGGTATCAACAGACATAAAACCATATAACTTAAATTTTAACAAATTTGTGAAACGTGCTTACAAGAGTAGTAGGGAGTGTAGAGCCATGCATCCACCTGGTTAATAATTGCTTGGCTGATCACTGGCTCAAACTTGCGAGCAAAAAACAGGTTACGTGATGTAGAAGCCTGAAACAAACAAGATTGTGAGCACAAGAAACTCTTCTTCCTCAGTGTCACTCCAAGCAAGGGCCTGGGGCCAGATTCACGAAAGCACTTACGCAAGTACTTACGAACGTGTACTTCTTTCCTCAATCTTTGACGGCTTTGGTTACATTTATTAAACAGTTTACAAGCATGAAAACTTGCCAATCCACTGTTGTTATTGTTATAAACAGCCTCCTGGTGCTTCGGAGCTCATTAATTGTTTAATAATTGTAAACAAAGCCGCCAAAGATTGAGAAAAGATGTACAGGTTCGTAAGTGCTTGCGTAACTGTTTCGTGAATCTGGCCCCTGGATACTACTACTCCTCTCACCATGTCTTCATTGACCTCTGCCCCACGGTTATGAGGAACTTTTCACATGGTCATGTCACCTGGCTGCCAAGAAAAGGTCAACTCACTATTTAACAGAATACAGAATATTTCTCCTGAGAGCAACCAAGAAGCCTATATTCAAAAAATATATTTAATATTTATCATGAGTAAATGCTTTTGTAATAATTTTTAGTAGTCAGAAAAATTCAAGCATGAATGTAATGAAGCACCTTTTTCTGGCTGGCTGCAGCAGCTCCCTGGTGCTAGTACACACACACCCAGAGAGCTACCAGGCCTCTAGACTAGCAAAAACTTATCTAACAACAGGATCAGGAACTGTTGTGCTTGTAGAGGTAAGGGAAACATGGAGATCTGAGGTGAAACCAAGTAAAACCCAGCCAGAGAGTAAAGGCAAAACAAAACAAACTACATTCAGTATCTTGATTATAAATAGAAAAGATTGAAATAAGGCAAGGTAGCTAGCCCAAGGTTTACAATTCATGCAACAGTTCCCAGGTGTGCTACCAGATGGTAACTAGGGCTTCTTTCAAGTTCAGCTACTCCACACCCTCACATAAGTGCTGTCACTCTACATGCAACCTAGCCCCCAACAATAAAAAAAGACCAAAGAGGATCGAGCACAGTTGGGTAAGGAAATCATCAAGAACCAATCAACAATCCCAATAAGCCCAAATGTAACTAACAATTAGAGCCATTAAAATATCCAATAGTGCCAGACACAAGGGATGTGAAGCCAACTACTACACACCAAACTGCATAAACCAGATGAGAATAAGCATATGGAACCACCTAACTAAACTGAAAATTCTTATTCACCATTCAAGAAGAACCCCCAGAAAGACACAAAGAATCGCCCACAAACCAAACATAGCCTAGCGTCATTTATCTTCTCCACAACAGGGCTGGCCAGAGGGCCAAGTCCAAAGCACTACACTGAACAACAAAACAACTGAAGAGAAGCAGCCTCAAAAAGGAGGATGTCTGAACCCCTTCACAGTAGAATTCTCTATAGAGGAAATGGGAATGTAAAATGATACCAGAGAAGATGACCCTAAACAAAAGCTGGGTGAGCTTTTTATTTTTTTAGAACAGTTAAGGCTTGGCTTCCACTCAACCCTCCCTGCCAAGGGCTTGAATCTAACCAAAATTGCTAGCAAAGTAAATGACGAGCACAGTACTACTGTGCTAGAAGGACTGTTGTAATTTATCTAGACAAGGAGAGTGGTCCCTGTTGAGATGATGGTGTAATGCAGGCAAGACCAGGCACGTGAGTAAAGGTGTGGGTTGGCCAGGTTCCAGCTAGCGTGGTTTCATTCTTCTATCTTGAATCAAGATAAGTAGCTTGTTTATTTCATCTGCACATCCCAGGTGAGTTCTACTCAGTCTTGGGATGATCTAGGATCCCATGCACCCTTTGCCTCTATAAGCATACCAGATTCTGGTGCTCGTGTTAGACATGCCTACACAAGTTCAGAGGCCAGACCAAAATTATACACTGTAGTAACACACTCTAGCCAATAACATCAGTCAGTAATGGATTTCTTTAACTGAATTGCAACAAAAGATTTACTTAACACAGGCAATGTAAATGCTTTCTTTTAAGGTTGAAGCAATGATTGGAATATAGCTTCCAACCATTGATAATATAATTATTCACCTGATAATATAATTATAACTAACCTCAAGCTTGGGCCAGTCTCCTGGAATGAAGTCATTGGGTGAGCATCCGCACCAGTCAACAATGTGTTTGTACTGACACTTGCAACCCAGTTTTCTTTTCCAGTTAGTTACATGGAGATTGTTGTCCGTGAATGACTGGCAGAATCGCGAGTTACGCAACACAGTATGAAAGAATGACTGGAAAAATAAAACGAGGAGTTTAGGTTATCTCTGAAAAGCCACAAATGTCTTTCAGGGAATCAGAGTAGTTCTAATATTGCACCTCATGCATACCTTCTGTGCTGGAAATTATGTCATTCATATACACTCAAGATTCAACTGTAATTAAATAAATAGTTAACGTATTGTTTCACATATTAAGAGGCAAATAAATGTGAATACATTTCAGCATAAAATGTTTACAATAACACACACATGCATGTCAAAACTTTTAAACATAATAAAAATAAATTATATAATCACCGCATACAAAACTGCAACTTAAATCAAAAAAATTAATAAGGAGCAAAATTTGAACATGTCTCCATCAAGAACAAGAGGCCATAAATTCAAACTAAGAAAACAAGGGTAACAATACATTCATGTAAATTCTAATTTGTAAGCTATAATAGATGGATGGAAAGTATTGAATGAAAGGGTTATGAAGTGTATATACTGTAAGTCAAAACCATCAAAAGCTACAAAACTGAAGGTGACAGAGCACAAGGAAGACGATATACATATACAGTACATATAATAATTAGGATCCCTTCAGAAAACAGCAGTCTCATTCTTCACCAGAAAAGAAGGAGATGACTGCAAACGAATAAACCTATCACCACGACCAAAAGAGCAGAAACCCCTGCACCGGAGGAGAGCATGAAACTCCCCAACCTGACCTCCCAGAGGCCAATGCCAACAAGAAAAAAGAGCTATGAAAAAACAATCCTGACTTGAAGAGGCCACAACAACCCGAGGCAAAGACAGATAAGAGAGCACTCTGTCCAACGACCAGGACGGCTCAGGCAGTGCATGAGCAGGCCAGAGGTGAAACAACGCTCGAGACAGCTTGCGAAATGGTGCCAAAGTAACATCAAATACTGAAAGCAAGCTGCAGCGGCTCCACCAATGCCACACGATACGAGGCGACAGTATTCGGCATAAGATGAAGGTCTTGAAACAGCCACGAGAGAAAGGCAAAACAACTAACAAAAAGTGCAGTACAGCGACGAAGAGACAGAAAGAAACTGAAGGACCACCAGGCAATTTCATATTGCCGCAGAGACGAAGCCCGCAGGTGGGACACCATCAAAGAAGACACCTGACCACCATACAGATGGTGATAGACTCGAGTCAAAAAGACCAAATGCGAAGACTCGAGGAGAAGAGAGAACCAGTCTCGTAATGGACCGAACCCATCTGTTGAAAGAGGCAGAGCTGTGAAAAATCGCCGGGTTCAGACACCGAGCAAGCAATGCCTGAAACCAAGGCTAGACCAGCCAGCAAATAACCAAGAGGACTACTCTCCCTTGATAAGTCTCCAAATGAGCTACGACTTGGAGCAACAGCTGAACCGGGCAAAAGAGGTACAGGAACCCCCACTTCGACCAATCCTGCCAGAAGGCATCAACCCCCAACAGCTGCCTGTCGGGGAAGGGCGCCACATATACCAGAAGACGCCTCGATCACGCCGACGCGAAGAGGTCCACCTCTGGGCGCTCAAACCTCTGGCACAGCTAATTGAATGAGTCCGCATCAACCGTCTATTCCGTGACCGGGGAATGAACCAGGACAGACCGTCCACCATTATGGTGGACACCCCCCCCCCCACCCCCCAGACATGAACTGCCAGGAGAGCTAAACCCCGTTACTCAGCAGACGAGTCACCGGAAGTGACCAGCCACAAAGAGCCAAGGACTGCACCAAACCCCTCGGTTCAGGCAATGAACCACCGGGAAGCAGTCCGAATGAAGTTGGATTGTTGATCCGCGGACAACCCGAACCCTCCGAAACGAAAACCACACCGCCACGAACTCCTGCACTGTGCTGTGGGCCCGAGGGAAGGACGGGCCCCACCGCCCCTGGCCGACCTGGTGAGCACTGGTCACAAATCCCCAGCCGAGAGACGATGCATCTGTGAACGCATTGAGTGAAGGCCCGGGTAGGCACCAAGGCACAGAACCCTGAAAAACCCAAAGAGGAAGCCAGCAACGCAGCAGCTGACGCAAGGTCCCTGGGGGACAAACCCAGCGATAGCGAGAGAGGCGGAAGGGATGTCCCCAGAGGAGCCAGAACAGCCGACGAAGCCAAACCCAACCCAATACAAGTGCAGTACTTACAGGGTACTCAGGGAAGGGAACCTAAGCACATGCAGCCCGAGTACCTGTGAATATTACTCCCAGCTCACACACCACCATAAGAGCAGTAGTGGACACAAGGCACAGTACAACACAGAGAGAATCTGGAGCTGGAGCCACACAACCATGCCACAATTACATCAGCCGAAGAACTGGTGGGTGGATCGCCGACGTGGGGGTCCCTGGGGTCTGGGGCTCCCCCTTCCCCTTCCCCTTCCCATGGGGAAGGGGGAGCTGCGCAGACATATGGCGCGGGCTCATGTGACGTCATGCTCGTTTTCATTTGGGGGAGTTCTGTCCACTAGTTTAGTTTAGTTGTTTTAACCAGAATAGGCGGTTTGTTTTGAAACACTTACCTTTCTGAGTACCTGTCCCGGTCAATGGCAGATATAGAATGCTCCAAATCCCATATGCATTTCTACAGGCCACTGCTCCTCGTACCTCTCTGAGGGGGGCCAGGTTCTGGCCAAGGTCCCCCGGTAGGCTTAGAACTCCATTCACACTGATTGAAGCCAAAGTCTAATGATATACATATCAGCCTGGAAAGCTCCGGGAAGCTGAAGGGGCTTCCCCTAGAAAATTGGTAATGCATGCCAACTAAATCGACAGCATTAAATGTAGATAACGCAGAGAAATAAGAAATTAAAATTATTTTTGAACTAGATACCTGAAAGTGAAAAGGCAGGCCCAAAAGCCAATCCTCCCAACCTACAAGCAACATACCAGCACAAACACACACAAACTGTAGAAACAGGAATACTTCAAATTAAATAAAATCTGAGACAGGGGCACTGGCATTTTGGAATGCTTACCTCGGCAGGTAACAGTGTATATGAATAAACTTTCTTGAGGCCTTTCACAAGTTGATCCTGACTGTTAACTACATATTCAACAAAATCACGATTGAGACACAGCCAGTCACTCCCTCCATCTACGCGAATTCCTGTTGAAAAAGCACGCAGTAAGATCAACTTTATGGGAAGGAAAATGAGAGGATTTAGTTTTTCTGCTAAAATTTATATTTAAGGTAATTAAGATACTGATAAGTTGCAGCATGGTGGTGGTGTTGAGATAAAACACATGAGAAAAAGCAATTAATTAATAAATTGATATATTGCACGTGCTTACAAATGATAAAGCATTATATGAAAAAGTGTTTGAAATAGTACATGGATGTGTGCTTGTATTTTATGGGTTTATATGCAATAGTACCCAGGTGCAGATAGCTTCAAACCATTATGTACTACGTGGCTATTATACCTGATAAAAAATTAAATAGATGAATTTTAAGTGTCATCTTCCTATTTCTTGATTTATTTATTAATACAGTATACTGATACCAGTAGTGGTGATTAAAATTCCAAAATTACACTTGACTTCTCTTAACTTTTGTAAATTAAGGTTGAGAATGCACAAGTAATGCTCTACATTGGTCTTTGAAGCAACTATAGTCTAAAAGTAATAGATGGAACTCTTCTAGTATTTCAAAATGTAATTCACTGGTAACACCAATTTCACTCATTTGAACTGAGCAATGTAGGAAAACACTCACACCAGATTGACTTTGAACAGCTTTGGTGTGAAGGTGACTTGTGAAAACTCTTGAGCATCACAATAGATCTGTATATACCAAACATAACTAGATTATATGCAGTAGTAACCTACAAAACATCAACAACAACAACAAAAATAAACCTATCAATAACCTGCCCTTCATTTTGCCAAATATGCACACAAACCTAATCAACATAACTTATGTTATGGTAAAGCAAGGGTTTATTTTCCATCCAAATTGGCAACACCATTCAGGAACAAGAGTGATGACATTCTCCCAGATCAAAATAAAAACAATTCTCATAACATGTGCCTAGTGCATCACAGTTTGAAATATGCATTTCTATTCCAATTTCAAGGTCAGCTTTCATGTCAACAGCCTTAATTAGGCATAGGACAATACTTTTTTTTTTTTACGTCCCATTTTTGGGACATCACACCTGTTAGGTTTATTCAAGTTCCCCCTAGCTAAAAACACAATCCATGTGGCCATCCATCCAGTTACTGGCCAGACACAAAGATGTTTAAGAAAGTAGCCAAATGATATGCATATCATGCACTGCATCACGGCGTTCATATTCCAACACAGGAATTCATAAAAAACTCCATACAATACATTGCAAAGCTGCATTGAGCATGCTACTCCTATTTTGCTCATCAAAGTTCACCATTTTCCAATTAAAACAGTAGTGAAGGATTAATGGTCTGTAATAAGTAATGACAAGATAAACTGTAAGCGATCAAAAGTGAATGAAGAATTTTACACAAATGCTGAAGTATTTGGGGAACTCATAATGCAATGGCATTCAGTTTGAGCACTTTATAAACATTTTAACTAAGCAAAAACTATTAAACTAAGTTATTAAAATACTTTTTATCCCTACAGCAATCACCGATTGATTATTCACATAACATTAGACCCAACCAGTAAGCAAAAAAAAAAAAAAAAAAAAAAAAAAAAAAAAAAAAAAAAAAAAAAATATATATATATATATATATATATATATATATATTATATATATATATTATATATATATATATATATATATATATATATATATATATATATATATATATATATATATATATATATATATATATATATATATATATATATATATATATATATATATATATATATATATATATATATATATATATATATATATATATATATATATATATATATATATATATATATATATATATATATATATATATATATATATATATATATATATATATATAAAATAAAAAAAAAACAGCGTTGAATGTAATGAAACGCCATTTTCTGGGCGAGACCCGGAGGCTCTCTCGAGTTTTACCAGGCTGATGTGCATATATTAGACCGTGGTAACAGTTAATCGATGGAGTTCTAGGCTTACTGGAGACCAGAGCCAGAACCTTGCCTCCTCAAGAAGAGACACAAGGAGCATTGACCTAGAAGCACCTCTGTGTAATTGGAAGCAGTCTTTGTCTGCCAACTACCAGGTCAGGTAGCCAACTACCAGGTCAGGTAGCCAGGTCAGTTGTCTGCCAACTACCAGGTCAGGTAGCCAGGTCAGTTGTCTGCCAACTACCAGGTCAGGTAGCCAGGTCAGTTGTCTGCCAACTACCAGGTCAGGTAGCCAGGTCAGTTGTCTGCCAACTACCAGGTCAGGTAGCCAGGTCAGTTGTCTGCCAACTACCCAGAAAGGTAGGAATTCCAAAACAAACTACTACTGGTCAAAAATTGCAAACCGAAAGCTGAACTAGCAAGCAGACGTCCCCAATCAAAAACAAGCAAACAAGCATGACATCACCACAATCGTCGTGCATCCGTCTGCACAACCACCCCTTCCCTCCCTGGGAGGGGAATGTGGGTGTCCCAGACCTCTCCACTGGCTACTCTCCTCAGTTCACAGGCCGAATATCAAAAATGCCAAAAAACCAGCGTTGTATGTAATGAAATGCCACTTTCAGGGTGAGACCCGGAGACTCCCCAGAGCTATCCAGGCTGATATTGCTAATGTCAGACTTTGGCATCAGTCATGTGTAAGGAGCTCTTAGGCCTACTGGAGACCACGAGCCAGAACCTGGCCCCCTCAGAGAGGCACGAGGAGCAAGCCTATAGACACCTCCATGTGGTTGGAAGCATTCTATGTCTGCCACGACTGGGTCAGGCATCCAGAAAGGTAAGCATCAAAAAACAAAACCCCTATTCTGGTTAAGAAATTGCTACTGAAAGCCGAACTAGTGGACAGAACTCCCAAAATAAAAACGAGTTAATGAGCATGATGTCACCATGTCGCCGGAATTCAAACCTGGCAAACTTGGAAAGAACCAGCTCAGGCGAGCAGAAACGCCCCGTCCAGGAGGAACGCCCCGGGACCCCCTGAAGAACCAACAAATCCGACAACGGATGACAACGAAAAGCCGCCAGCAGAAAAACCCTGAAACACAAACGGCACAAACAGCAAGTACAAAATCGCGATGAAAAACAAAGAGCCAGGGCCCAGGCCGAGGCCAACGAGGAATAGAACATGGATAAAGTCCAACCGAGCAGTAGGAGAGCCAAGAGGCACATACAAAACACACAACAATGTGCAGGAGAGAATGAGAAAAAACGAAAAACTGCAAGAAAAAACAGCACCAGCGGCTAGGAGCGAGATCGCAGAAGGAAGATAAGGAACGAGGAAGACAAACAGCAAACGGGAATGAAAGGGACATGACCAACAACACAAAGGCCACGTAGATGTCAAGGGAATGACAGTCGAGAGGCAGGACCAAAGAGCCAAAGCTCAACCCCCACAAGCACAACTAGGTGAGTACAGAGAATCCAATGTATATGGAAGGGCTAAGCCAGGGACTGCAAGACGGGCAAGGAATGAGCGACCAAGATAAGACCACGAAAAACGGGGGCCGTGCCCCACCGTGTAACAAATAACACAAACTAAGAAAGGAAGGCCCCAGGAAGAAGCACGTAAGGACCAAACAAAACGCCACAACCAATCCCCAACACGCATCCTCTGTACCAAAACTGCATCAAAATGTTACCTTGTAACACCTGGAGATAGCTTAACATATACCTCATAACATGTACCTCCACCATTGTACTGTACCTCGTAACATGGTGGAGGTGGGGTCCTGTGATTGATTCAAGCAAGGGTAGGACATGTATAAAAGTGGGATTGGGCAGTTGTAAATAGGAGCTGCCTCGTACGGGCCAACAGGTCCTCTGCAGTTACCTTTATTCGTATGTTCTTATCCAAAAACCACGACCACCAGGTCCAAAAGAGCAGAAACCCCAGTGCCGGAGGAAAGCATGAAGCTCCCCGACCTGACCCCCAGAGGCCAATGCCAACAAGTAAGGAGCCTTAGAAGAACAGTCCTTAACCGAGGGGGCCACCACAAACCGAGAAGAGAGAAAAGAGAGCACCCAGTCCAACGACCAGGACGGCTCAGGTGGCACATGAGCAGGCCGGAGGTGAAACAATGCCCGAGAAAGCTTGTGGAACAGAGCAGAAGTGACATCCAACCCAAATGCAAGCAGCAGCAGCTCCTGGTTGATACCTGGTTGAAGGGGTTCTGGGAGTTCTTCTACTCCCCAAGCCCGGCCCGAGGCCAGGCTTGACTTGTGAGTTTGGTCCACTAGGCTGTTGCTTGGAGCAGCCCGCAGGCCTACATACCCACCACAGCCCGGTTGGTCCATCACTCCTTGGAGGAATAAATCTAGTTTCCTCTTGAAGATGTCCATGGTTGTTCCGGCAATATTTCTAATGCTCGCTGGGAGGGTGTTGAACAACCGTGGACCTCTGATGTTTATACAGTGTTCTCTGATTGTGCCTATGGCACCCCTGCTCTTCACTGGTTCTATTCTGTATTTTCTTCCATATCGTTCACTTCAGTACGTTGTTATTTTCCTGTGTAGATTTGGTACTTGGCCCTCCAGTATCTTCCAGGTGTATATTATTTGATATCTCTCTCATCTTCTTTCTAGTGAGTACATTTGGAGGGCTTTGAGACGATCCCAATAATTTAGGTGCTTTATTGAGTATATGCGTGCTGTATATGTTCTCTGTATTCCCTCTATTTCAGCAATCTCTCCTGCTCTGAATGGGGAAGTGAGTACTGAGCAGTACTCAAGACGGGACAACACAAGTGACTTGAAGAGTACAACCATTGTGATGGGATCCCTGGATTTGAAAGTTCTCGTAATCCATCTCGGAGATGATCTCGGAGTGATGTAATCTTGGAGAAAGTTCTCCACCAACGCTGCACGATACAAGGCAACAGTTTTTGGCATAAGATAACGGTCCTGAAACAACCAAGAGAGAAAGGACAAAACAACCCTATCAGAAATCAAAGACAACCTACAAAGAGACAAAAAGTGTCGAAAGAACCGCCAGGATATTTCGTACTGCCGTCGAGAGGAAACTCACAAGTGGGACATCATCAACGAAGCCACCTGTTCACCATACAAATAGTGATAAACCCGTGTAAACAAAAACAGACACGAAGAATGGAGAAGAAGATTGAACCAGCCATGTACTGTAGCGGACCAATATGCTAAAAGAGGCAGTTGCGGGAAGACCCTTGGGATCAGACATCGAACAAGAAGTGCCTGAAACCAGGGCTGGACTGGCCACCAAGGGACCAACAGGACTACTCTCCCCTGGTAAGTCTCCAAGCGAGCCAGGACCTGGAGTAACAACCAAACCAATGGGAAGAGACACAGGTAATTCCACCTATACACTGGAAGATGCCTCCACCACACTGATGTGAAGAGTTCCACCTCCGGGCGCCTGAACATCCGGCAGAGCCAACTGAACGAGTCGGTGTCGACCGTACATTCTGTGAATAGGGGAAGGAAATGAGACAGGCCGTCCACCAGGAGATTTAACACCCTGTGAACGTGAACCACCAGGAGAGCCAAACCCCGAGATCCCAGCCCCGGAATCCTCCACATCAGGACCCGGGGCTGTGCCGTCCTTCAAACCGTCTGCTTCTGGAGAAAAAGCAGAGTCCACCAGAAAAGCAGGGATGAAGGGAGCCCGCTTGCACACCACCAACACAGAGCAACAACACCGCTAAGCAGCACTGCGCAAAGAGTGGAGCCACAGTCGAGGACCATCACCAACACAACAGCCTTCTGAATTGAGGAGAGTAGCTGGCGGGGAGGTCTGAGACACCCCCGTCCCCCTCCCTGGGAGGGGGGGGGGTTGCGCAGACGGATGCGTGGCAGTTGTGGTGGCGACATGCTTGTTTGCTTGTTTTTGATTGGGGAGTTCTGCTTACTAGTTCGGCTTTTGGTTCACAATTTTTGACCAGTAGTAGTTTGTTTTGGAATTTCTACCTTTCTGAGTGCCTGATCTGGTACACGGCAGACAAAGACTGCTTCCAATTACATGGGGGGTGTCTTTAGGCCATTGCTCCTCGTGCCTCTCTTGAGGGGGGCCTGTTTCTGGCTCTGGTCCTCGGTAGGCCTACAACTCCATCGATTGACTGTTGCCACAGTCTAATATATGCACATCAACCTGGTATAGCTCCAGGGAGCCGAAGGGGCTCCTCACAGAAAATTACCTGGAAATGGTAATGAAGTTATAATTTTGTTTAGAATGCAGGAGAAAATAGTAGAGTTAAAGATATATTGGAAGCAATGAGCTAACCAAGAGGTAATCGCCGTTCACCAATTCTCCACATGTGTGTCTCACACTCGAGAAATGTGCGGTCGAGCCCTTGTTTCTGAAGGAACTTGTTGGTGTCATGGCCATGAGATTTGAGGAAATTTCGTTCTCTGTTGTTGGTCAAGAAGCGTACCAGCTCATCATTCCTTCTGTGAAACCATGGAAACCATGAACATTGAAGTTAACAATTAAATCACATCCTCCAAGTCTTTTAATAAGATGCAACATTTGTTTTACCTTTAGAGAAGACACATCACATTACAGTTCAGATTTTAAAAAAAAAGCTTAAATAGTGCAATGAACTATTTTCCTAATACAGAGTATACATTAGAGCGATTATTATAAACAAAAAACCAACGTTCAATGTAATGAAATGCCATTTTCTGGACGAGACCCGGAGGCTTCCCGGAGCTATCCAGGCTGATATGTAACTATTAGCTTTCTGGCATCAGCTAAAGTGCATGGAGTTCTTGCCTACAGAGGACCACGAGCCAGAACCTGGTCCCCTCAGAGAGGCACGAGGAGCAGTGGCCTATAGAAACCCTAGTGTGGTTGGGAGCATTCTATGTCTCCCATTGACCGGGTCTGGCCCCCCAGAAAGATAGGCGCCCCAAAACAAACCCCTATTCTGGTGAAAATAATACTACCGAACTCCACAGAAAATAATACTACAGAACTCCACAGAACTCCCCAACGAAAATTAGCAAACGAGTATGACGTCATCACATTGCCACGCCACTGTCTGCCCAACTCCCCCCTCCCCGGGAGGGGAAAGGGGGAGCCCCAGACCCCTTGTGCCGGAGATCCAACTGGCAGTTCTAAGGCTGGATGTCAAAAACGCACGAAAACACTGCCGACCGGATGGAGGGAGGGAGGGATGCTGGGGAGCCTCCTTGTTTCACCCAGAAAATGGTGTTTCATTGCATTCAACCCTGGTTTCCTGGGGAGGGGGGGGGCATCCCGTCAGCTTCCCAGAGCTAACTACCCAAAGACAAGGAAAAATACAGGGACTTACCAGGAAGGTGGTCAGTTCTCACGCCTCAACACGAAATCGAGACAACTAGCTGCAACCGTTGACCCAGTGAATGGCAGAAAGGCAGGTCCAGGAACATTGACAAGGTTGCGAGGACCCTGTCTGACCTCCAAACACCCTGTGCCCGATTGTCTACCCAAGACATGTTACCAAAGACGGCAGCCAGAGCAGCAAACTTACAAATGTCGTGCCAGGATACCACGTATACCAGGAGATGCCTCGACCATGCCGACGCGAAGAGATCCGTGTTCAGAGGCCCGAACACCTGGCAGAGCCAACTGAATGATTTGGCTTCAACCATCCATTCCGAGGACAGGGGAATGAACCAGGACAGGCCATCCGCCATGACATTGGACACCCCCCCCCCCTCGAACGTGAACCGCCAGGAGATCCAAACCCCGAGAACTCAGCAGACGAGTCACCCGAAGTGACCAGCCCCAAAGAGCCAAGGACTGCATCGACCACACGGGGGTGTCTATAGGTCATTGCTCCTCATGCCTCTCTGAGGGGGCCAGGTTCTTGCTTGTGGTCCCCGGTAGGTATGAACTCCAAGCACTTTGAATGATGCCAAAAAGCTAATAGTTATATATCAGCCTGGATAGCTCCGGGGAGCCGACAGGGCTCCCCGCAGAATGAAAAATAAAATATACAGTACTGAAATACTGATACCAGGTATAGGCAAAATTTATACTGTGTGAATTATATATAGTGGGTGATTGGAAAGGTCTAGCAGAAACACAGTACAATAAAGAAAATAGTGCATTGCATGCAGTAAAGAATTTGAATGTCCAATGTTATTTACCCATGCACAACCTTTCATTATATAGTAGTGTATACATAATATAGGAGTGAAGAATATAAATTAGATAGTACTGTATACAAGATACATGTACTAAGATAATTTTTGACAAATATTAGTTTTAAGCCCCATTTTTACCAAAGAAGTTATCTTCTTGAGGTTATCTTGAGATGATTTCGGGGCATTTTAGTGTCCCCGCGACCCGGTCTTCGACCAGGCCTCCACCCCCAGGAAGCAGCCCGTGACAGCTGACTAACACCCAGGTACCTATTTTCCTGCTAGGTAACAGGGGCATAGGGTGAAAGAAACTCTGCCCATTGTTTCTCGCCGGCGCCTGGAATCGAACCCAGGACCACAGGATCACAAATCCAGCGTGCTGTCCGCGCGGCCAACCGGCTCCCATGCTGGTCGGTACATGAAGTATATGAAGACAGAACACGAAACAATGGATATAAATTGGATAAGTTTAGATTTAGATTGGGTGGTTATTAATTGGAGCTGCCTCGTATGGGCCAATAGGCCTTCTGCAGTTACCTTTATTCTTATGTTCTTATGTAACTGCAGAAAGCCTATTGGCCCATATGAGGCAGCTCCTATTTATAACCCCCCAATCCCACTTATATACATGTCCAACCCACATTTGAAACAATCAAGAGACCCCACCTCCACCATGTTACTCAGTAATTAATTCCACAAATCAACAACCCTGTTACTGAACCAGTATTTACCCAAGTCTTTCCTAAATCTAAACTTATCCAATTTATACCCATTGTTTCATGTTCTGTCTTGTGTTGATACTTTTAATACCCTATTAATATCCCATTTGTTATGCCCTTTCATCAACTTATACACCTCTATCATGTCACCCCATAATTCTTCATCTTTCTAGATAATGTAATTTAAGCTTTGTCAATCTTTCTCCATATGACAGGTTTCTAATTTGGGGGATTAACTTTCATAGGTAATCATCATTATTAGGTAATTGTTAGGTAATCATCATTACCTAACCTTAAAACCTTAAATCTGTCAGCATTAAACTGCATCTGCCAATCTTTTGACCATTTCAAAACTCTATTTAGATCATCTTGAAGCGATAGAGAGTCCCTTTCTGTACTTATTTCCCTCCCGATTTTTGTATCAATAAATTTGCAAATATTGCTGCTCAAACCCGAATCTAAATCATTTATATATATTATGAATAACAGAGGACCCAGGACAGAGCCTTGAGGCACTCCACTTACAACATTTTCCTACTCTGACTTAACTCCATTTATACTACTCCCTGTTTCCTTTGGTATAGCCATGTCCAAATCCAACTTAGTATAGCACCCCCAATACCATGAGCCTCTATCTTTTTAATGTTCAACAATGTTTATTGTAGAATGGTTCGGTAACAGGGTTGTTGATTTGTGGAACCAATTACCACGAAACGTAGTGGAGGTGGGATCCCTCGATTGTTTCAAGCGTCGGCTGGACATGTATATGAGTGGGATTGGGTGGTTATAAATAGGAGCCGCGTCGAATAGGCCAATAGGCCTTCTGCGGTTACCTTTGTTCTTATGTTCTTATGTTAATTCACATAAAAGACTATAAACAGAAAATACTGTACAAGGCACAAATAACAACTTCATTCACTCACTTGATAGGATAATCAGATTCACTTAGATTTATGATGAAATTCCAGTTCCAACTCTTTATTTGCAGAATCTGCTGCATACAGTGTAGAAGTATTTTGAGAAGAGACGCACCTCCCCATATGGTAGAAAGCCTATATCGAGAAACTTGAATATTTCTGAATTCCTTCTCGAGCTTCAGCACCTCTCTGAATAGGTAGTCTTGTCGCTGGAGAATTCATGAGTATTATAGCAATTGGTGGAGCAACTGAGTATTATAGCTTATAAAACCCTCATTTTTCATACTCTTAAGTATTCACCTAATTTGTGCTAGCTTGATATTTACAAAATGTTGAGTAGTGTGATATTTTGATAATACAAGATGTTAAAGTGAGATTTTACTGTAAACATAAGCTTAATATTCATGTTCTAAGTACTTACAGAATCTACATGAATGAAGAAGAAGTGGTCCTTGTGATAGAGAGCTTTAATTAGCCGTTTGAGCTGTCTCATGGCTCTGCCATTGACCGTCAAGACAAACACTATTCTTACTGGGGTGTTGTTGCCTGCTAAAGATGGTCCCTTTAGTGCAGGTGGGACATACTCTATAATAAAATACAGTAATTAAAGAATGAACCTGCCTCCAAACTACAGCATAAAATCCAGTATTGAATATTTACATACTGTAATACTACTGTACTTTCTGTTGGGCCACTCAATAACTCCCCAAAGATACAGCTCGGAAGCAACCAAGCATTAGAGGGTACACCAGGCTTTTGAGACCCGATAGTGTGTACCAGGGACATAGACAAGAATCTGGCTTGCTCAAAGAGATGAAGGGAAGTCTGTAGACCATAAATCCCCACAGAACTGAGAAAATTTCACCAAAAAGAAAATATCACTCCAAAACTAGTAACTACTTGGAAGAAATTGTAACTCTTATGATAATAATGCAAGCAATCATTCCTGTGGAGGCAACAGATGGATCTGTATGACACTTGCAATAAACACACCCAAGAAGGTCAAAAGTATCTGAGCCACAGAAGACTTCCCCCAACCACTCTTATCCCCAAATATCAGGAAGATGGGAAACTATAGTTGGGAAAGAGAAAGAGAGGGTAAAAAGACGGTCAATCAACCACAGCCAACCAAATGCCCCCAATCACAACCTAACAATGGAAAGAACAGCTGGTAGAGAGATATAAAACAACAAAGGGGTAACACCATAAAAAAAACTGAATTGAATGCAATGAAATGCCATTTTTTGGACGAGTCCCAGAGGCTCACCGGAGCTATCCAGGCTGATATGCATATTGTTAGACTTTGGCATCAATGTGAATGGAGTTCTAGGCCTACCGGGGACCACGGCCAGAACCTGGCCCCCTCAGAGAGGCACGAGGAGCAATGGCCTATAGAAATGCACATGTGATTTGGAGCATTCTATACCTGCCATCAACCGGGACAGGAACCCAGAGAGGTAGGCACCTCAAAACAAACCCCTATTCTGGTTAAAACGACTAAAATAGACAAACTAGTGGACAGAACTCCCCAAATGAAAATGAGCAAACGAGCATGATGTCACATGAGCCACATGTCTGCACAGCTCTCCCCCTCCCTGGGAGGGGGAATGGGGTATCCCAGACCCCCACGCTGGTGATCCACCCACCAGTTCTGAAGTTGGATGTCAAAATCAAGCGAAAACTGCCAACCGGAGGGAAGGAGGATTGCGGGGAAGCCTCTGGGATTCACCCAGAAAATGGCATTTCATTGCATTCAACGCTGGTTTTCTGGGGGAAAGCCCCTTCGGCTCCCCGGAGCTACTTCACCAAAGACGAAAATTAGAGGGACTTACCCATGGGGCGGTCGGTGCTGGCATCTCAACTTGAAGTCGAGACAACAGGCAACAACCACCGACCCACAGCGACACAGGCCCGACTAGGCCCAGGAACATTAACGAGATAAGTGTGCAGCCAGTACCCTGTTCGACCACCAAAAACCCCGCGCCTGAATGTCAGCCCAGGACATGTTACCAAAGACAGCAGCAAGTGCAGCAAACTTACAAACGTCATGGGCTGGCTAGACCGAATAACCCTGCGAATGACCTGAGAGACCCGAACCCGCGAACAGGGAAGAAAGATCAGATCAACCCAAAACGTGTCCCCGGCCACAGAGGCCGTGGCGCGCAAATAACAGCGGACAGCTGCAAACCGGACACAACACATGATGCACCACCGGCCTGACTAACCAAGCAGCAGTCTCATTCTTCGCCAGAAAAGAAGGAGATAGCTGATCAGTGACCCAGATGGAAAAATGACCCTGAAAACCCTCCATCTACCAGAGCCTGTGGACTCAGGGCCCAAACCAACAGAGGTAGAGAAGTTGAGCAAACAGAAGCCAGGTAGACAAGCCTCTTAATGCAAATAAATAGAGACGGGACGGGGATTACTGAATAGTGAATTTGACACTTGTTCAAAACAAACTGCTTAACCTTCCTCTTCACAGAACAATGAAGGTTCAACTGCCCATCTCCCAGTTCTGCATGGGGCTCCCAAAAATAAAACTGAGAGGTCTGATACCATAGCACAGCTGCTGTCAACTGGAAGGGCGGCACGACTGAAACAAGTCAAATGGTGACAAGCTTCACACACCCAAGGGTGGAAGGACATCTGAACCCAATAGATGTATTCGTGAGGACAGTAAGAGTGCCTATAGGAGGCCAAGAGTACCAACTCTTGAGGTTATCTTGAGATGATTTCAGGGCTTAGTGTCCCTGCGGCCCGGTCCTCGACCAGGCCTCCACCCCCAGGAAGCACCCAGTGACAGCTGACTAACTCCCAGGTACCTATTTACTGCTAGGTAACAGGGGCATCAGGGTGAAAGAAACTCTGCCCATCGTTTCTCGCCGGCGCCCGGGATTGAACCCGGGACCACAGGATCACGCGTCCAATGTTCTGTCCACTCAGCCACCGTCTCCCCGTAGAAACTCATAAAGTGGAAAACTGTACACAACAGTTTTAGGTCTGGAGGTATGTGAAGCTATTCCCACACTCCAAATACAGATCCTGAGAAGGAAACCCTACTATCTAACTGATAGTAAATGAGCAGGTAGACTAGATACAGGGAATGAGTATTTGGCAAAGCAGATCCCAACCCCCCCCCCCCCCCCCCCCCCCCCCCAACATTATAACCACTTGGCATGGGAATACATAAGCCTCCAGGGACAATAATAGTCATGTACATGCCTTAGTGCACTTTTGGGCAATATGCCAGGCATGTTGTTATCAAGCACACAACAAGCAGTATGGTCCTCTCATTAACAGGCCATGCAATAGGAATCCAACCCTACAACCAGTGAGCAATTGCTATTTGCAAGGAAGCACAAATCCCACAGAAAGGAGAACTCTAGTTACTCATAAGAAACAGGCCAGTCAGAAGGAAGGATAACAGGCAGAAGTAAAGACAACAATGACTCGGTGCCGGAGCTAACTAGTGCGAACTAAAATCACTTTCCATCAACAGGGCCTCACAGAATGCTTGGAATGCTTCCTGCTTTTAGTTTCAGGAAGCTACTGACAGAATTTTCCCAGAATTTTCTTAAGTTGAAAAAATTTTGAATTACATAAATTTATATATAAATTATATAAGTATTATATTTCAAATATAACTACTGTATAGCAAGTTAAGAGTTGGTAAAAAAGTTAAGAACATTCTTTTCTTTGTATGAATATGGCCAAATTTGAGAGTATGTTAATATTTAAGTTGTGATGATAAAATGCAGAGAAGATAGAGGCTCTATCTATGTAGTACTATGTAGGCTTATCTATGTTTTCCTTTGTCATACTATCTCATAGTATGACAAAGTACAGTATTAGCTTAATGAGTATGTAATGCACTGGTGGGTCTCAGAGGGCTTACTCATTTCCCTAAGGATTGACAATACTAGTGATTAACTTTGATTAGCTTAGGGAGCTACTGAAGAGGCCCCTACCAGAAAACCAAATTAAAACATTGAATAAATTCCAGGGCTTCTGCCTCCAGATCTCTTCTGCCAGAAGAAGAGATCTGGATGCTAGAATCATATTTTCGAAGTACAGTACTGGTATTATAATCTAATCCTGTTAACCACAGACAAGAATGGGTGAGAACAGACCATGATCAAATTAAAAATAAAAAGCAAAGAGCCACACAATACTATTAAGCAACACACGAGGGAAATAAATCATGTAAAGATGAAGCTGCAACCAAACATAACCAAGCTCATGATCGTAGCACTAACACCTCGGTGAGTGACCACATCAAAGTGAGTGACCAAAGGAACGTCAAAAGCAAGTAACAAACTCAAGAGGAGATTGACTTTAGCTGAGGCAAGAACCAGCACTAAGAAGAAAATTCTGATGGCAGTGATGAAAATTTAACAAACATAAAAAAAAACTCATGTAACAATGCATAGGCTCACAACTGGTTCCATGGATAAACATGTAAAAATAATCACTAAAACTGAGCCAAGGCATGTCTCAGTGGGAAGCCAAATAACCCACACCACACAAGTCTGAGAAAAATGCCTAAATGTACCTTAGTGCCCAAGAAATACCAATGCCCTAGGCTAAAGTAGCAGAACACCATAAATAGAATTGTACACTCACTAACCAAACCAATGCCAAGCACCATTAGATGTAAACAAACAGCCGAACACACAGAGAACAAAGAGCAACCATAGGGAATACCATGTAGAATACAGCAGCTTGAAATTGTTTCAACCACTTTATACTCACTTGCTAATCCAGTTTGATAAATGTTAATATGAAGGTAGTCTCCACATTTCAGCTCTTGATCACCAGAGCATGGCATGTTGCACATGCTATCTGCCACTTTCATCTTAAGTGGTATTTCTTCATTGCCACAGAAACATTCCTTCCTGTTAAAGGAATAAATTAAACATGTACAAAAAAAAATTTCACTCTCAGTTACATAAAGTAATTTAAAAAAATCAACTTAATGCTTCTGAAGCTTCTATCATGAAATGTTCACAATCCAAACAATAATCTAATTAGGATATGTAAATAAATTCTTAATTCAAAATATTAACATAAATAAAGTATTGAATGTGGTGCAATACTTGTTTCTGAGCTGATTCCTTGGTAGTTTTTAAAGCTAGAGATTAATGATTCACCCTGGAAACAATGCATCCAGTTGACCCATCACCTCAACTTGACAAAAATCTTTGTAAAGGTCTTATCATGTAGTTAGGGGAAGAGTTTCAATCCACCACCAAGCAACCATTTGTAATCGTTCAAAAAGAACAGATAAATACACTATAACCTATACAAGTGATCATTGGAATTGCAAGACGAACCTATTACTACTCTGCTGACTGCTGATTAGTAACTACTGTACCTGCCACACTAACTGCCACTAAATACTGTTAAGACATACACCAATATGCATTGTAAAAAAATTACCCTGGAAGCCAATGGCTTTCAGTAATTAATGTCAGGAAAATCACCCCTGAAACCAAGTTGAAGCAGATAATCATTAGAGAAACAAATGGTTGAATCCCCAGGCCCAGAACACTAAGATCTGGAGTCTCCATCACAGAGAAATATATATCGAGTAACAAGCAATCACACTAAGCTGAATCTTTCCCCTGCAGTACCGAGGTGTATATGGGAAGACCACAGCATGATAAATGAAGTCCTGCCTGTGCTCCCGACCATGTTCGTTCCATGCTGTACGTTAGTGGTAATCAGTGTAGCATGTGCTGACAAACCAGTCACTTGTTTATGTACTTTACCTGCAGTTGGTTCAGAGAATTCTTCAACTCCCAACATCTCTTGCTCCTCATGATATTGGCTACTTTGATCTTAATTTACTGATGATTACATTAGCTTTCCTTGCAGTCTTTCACTCATGATTAAATTTACCCCCAACCACTTAATCCCTTGCCGTCTTTCACTCATGATTACTGTATATTCGCTTTATTTAATGTCCTTTTCCTCATGATCATATTTACTTACTAATTTTCACATTTGTCTTATGCATAATTATATTTACTGTTGTATGCCCTCTATTATTAAACAGGAAGATGACATGTGCTCTTTAACTTTTCAGTCAGGCATGTCTGCTTAATGTGTAAGAGAGAAAGTGAGTTAAGGTAGAGTGGCTCCTCAAGACTGGTAAAGTATGTTCATGCTAGTTCTCTGATGACGGTCTTATTTTCAATATATCTAACTTTCTGTGCTTAAACTTCTCTCTCATAATTTACCTACCCAATGAATATGAATAAAGGATTGTACAAGTTTAGATTTAGAAAAGATGTGGGTTAATACTGATTTGGAAACAGGGTTGTTACTGTGCAACATAATATACGTTTCCATGAGTGTAGCTGGACATCACAAGCATAGCTCTCATTCTGTAAATGTGATCGATGTAACTCATCATCTAAAATCGATGGATTGTTTCAAGCACAGGTCAGATATACAAAGTACTGTATATGAAAACCTTTCAAACAACATAAAAGATGCCTTGTATGGGCCAATAGGCCTTCTGCAGTTTCATTGCTTCTTAATTCTGATGAACATTTGTAGAGAGTATTCTTTTGTATAAGAGAGCAGTTGCTTGGTGATAGAATGAGATATACTCTCCACCCCAATTATGTGAGAAGACCATTTGCAAAGTACCTTGCCACTGTGGGTTAATTAGGTTAACTGGAGCCTATCTTCCTATTATGTCCTGGGATGGCCCATAAGACTGGCTTGGGAAGCAACCAGCAGGCAATAACTGGTAATCTCCAAGAACTGCTACCAGAATGTACTAACTGTACTGCTAATTACCTCATTGTATCATTCTTCACTCAGGGAGCTTGATAAGTATCAATTCAATATAAATTACAGTACAGTATAGTAAATACTTCAACCAGCAAAGGCAATTAATACAAAGTTAATAGTGAACTTGAAAAACTATAGGCTAGTCATGCCAGTTAACCATATAACAAGAATAATTCTCAAAAATCTAGTTTTAATTGGCCCTGTAAATAAAATGTACTAAGCACATTTCACATACAGGCAGAAAAAATAAGAATGTGAGTATGAAAAGTTAATTTCTGAGCAAGAAACAAACTTGCATGTTCTCTACAGCAAGACTACTAAGGCAGGAACATGATAAGTTAGGACAGAGCCACATTCAGCAGGGTCAGATGCATCAGGGATCTTTTCACAAGTCCCGGCTAGGTCATATGGGTGCTAAAGAGGCACTAAACAAATGCTCAATACAGCCCACAGTGACAATGGGAAGTTACCTTACAAACACTTAATCGTCAAATGAGCATGAAGACCCGAGAAACCTCTTCAACCATTCTGTCCTAACATATACAGTACAGTACATATACATAATGCACATTAATTTTGACACAATCACAGTATAAAAATTCTGATTCTTTAGTCAAATTAAAAAGCACCATATTATTGGCACATCCCTACCTAGGTTTGTATGCTTCTGGTTAGGTAAATCCATCTTTAATTGAATGCTTGTCAAATCATGAGAATGGGTTGCATTAATATAACCCATATAATACTAATAATAATACAACCCGAGGTTATAATAATACCTCCAACTAGATGTAGCCCAGTGGATCTATTAAATCCTGTTTAAAGCAGCTTCTCGAATGAGAATGAACATCAGTGTCACATACAAGCTCAACAGAGAACTTTACTAAATCCAATTTGGAACCTAGTGAATCATCATGGGGAAGAGTCGAGAGGAATACCAGAGAGCTTAATGCAGGGGACCACAGAGTCAAAGGTTTTATGTACCAGCTCCAGGTCCCTGGTGATTTTGATAAGGGCATTGCCATCATGCAGTGATCAGGGAAGAATTTTAGGAACTAGTGGTTTGGTAAGAACCGTGATGCAAGGTAGGAATGGAAAAGACTTTGGATGTTTAAAAGTAAACTTCCTCTAGTCACTACAGGCTGGACAAAGCAATCCTTCATTTGCTTCATGAGCACCAATATAATCTAGCAGAAACATGTGAAAACATCTTTGCTAAACAAAAAACGGCGTGTTGAATGTAACAAAACGCCATTTTCTGGGTGAGACCCGGAGGCTCCTAGGAGCTATCCAGGCTGATATGGATATATTAGCTTTCTGGCATCAGTCAATGTGCATGGAGTTCTTGCCTACCGGGGACCACGAGTCAGAACCTGGCCCCCCTCAGAGAGGCATGAGGAGCAATGGCCTATAGAAACCCCCGAGTGGTTGGGAGCATTCTATGTCTGCCATCGACTGGGTCTGGCACCCAGAAAGGTAGGCGTCTCAAAACAAACCCCAATTCTGGTGAAAATATTGCTACCGAAAGCTGAATGAGTGGACAGAACTCCCCAAACTAAAATTAGCAAACTAGCAGGACATCATCATGTTGCCGCCCTGCTGTCTGCACAACCCCCCCTTCCCGGGAGGGGGAAAAAAGGAGCCCCAGACCCTTGCGCTAGTGATCCACCCTTCAGTTCTTAGGCTGAAATGTCAAAACACACAAAAACACTGCCAACTGGAGAGAGGGAGAGTGCTGGAGAGCCTCTGGGTCTCACCCAGAAAATGGTGTTTCGTTACATTCAATGCTGGTTTTCTGGGGAAAGCTTCATCGGCTCCCCGGAGCTAACTCCCCAAAGATAAGGAAAAAGAGGGACATACCCGGGAGGTGGATGCCATGCACCTTAACTAGAAGCAAAACAACTGGTAACTCCGAATGACCTGGCAGACGACCCAGGAGACCCGAACCCTGGAACAGGGAAGAAGAAATCCGGGCAACCCAAAGCACAACCACGGCCATAGAAGCAGTGGCGAGCAGGCAACAGCGAAGAGCCGCAACTGGACACAACACAGGATGCACCCTGGCCTGACCAACCAAGCATCAACAACTCAAGGACCCCCCCTCTCAGGAAGCAGCAGATGACACGGTCTTCGCCAGAAAAGAAGGAGATGGCTGCAAACAAACAAACCTGCCACCAAGGCCAAAGAGCAGAAAACCCTTGCGTCGGAGGAGAGCACAAAGCTCCCCAACCTGACCCCCAGAGACCAATACCAACAAAAAAAGAGCCTCGGAAAAACAAACCTGAACCGAAGGGGCCACAACAAACCATGGAGAAGAGAGAAAAAGAGAGCACCTGGTTCGACAACCAGGAGGCCTCCGGCAGCGCAGGAGCAGGTCGGAGGGAAAACCACACACGAGACAACTTGTGGAACCGAGCTGAAGTAACATCAATCCCAAACGCAAGCAGCAGCGGCTCCTCCAGTGCCGCATGATACCCCGAGGTGACAGTATTCGGCATAAGATGATGGTCCTAGAACAACACGAAAGGAAGGACAAGACAACCCTATCAGAAACAGTACTCACAAGGTACCTAGGAAAGGAAACCCTAGGTGCTTGCAGCTTGAGTACTGAAGAGTATTACACATGGCTCGCTCACCCACCGTAGAGACAGGACCATGTTACAAGGCACAGAACCGAGACAAAATCTAGAGCCAGAAGCATATGACCTCACCAGTATCACATCAGCCAAGAACTAAAGGGTGGATCACCAGTGCAAGGGTCTGGGACTCCCTCTTCCCACTCCCAGGAAGGGGAGGGGGTTGCGCAGCAACATGCCAACGTGATGACGTCATGCTCATTTGCTAATTTTCGTTTAGGAAGTTCTGACCACTTGTTCAGCTTTCAGTAGCAATATTTTCACCAGAATACGGGCTTTGTTTTGGGGTGCCTACCTTTCTGGGTGCCAGACTCGGTCGATGGCAGACATAGAATGCCCCCAACCACACAGTGGTTTCTATAGGCCATTGCTCCTCAGGCTTCTCTGAGAGGGCCAGGTTCTGGCTCGTGGTCCCCGGTAGGCAAGAATTCCATGCACACTGACTGATGCCAGAAAGCTACTATATATCCATATCAGCCTGGATTGCTCCGGGAAACCAACGGGGCTTTCTCCTCCAGAAAAGTGCCATTT